AGTTGATTGGCATAAACGCCGTCCATTGCTCTGAAGCACGAGCGTCCAAACGCAGGGTGCAAGGAGCCAAGGAGCAAAACAGTAGTTTGTTCAAGGCTTACCCTCCCCAGGACTAACAAGGAAGCCCATGTAGGTCCCTTTCCAAATCCCCTGAAAGACAGTCATCTTTATAGGCGCTTGTCGGGCTTCGATTGTTTTGGAGGTTTATGATGTTGATGCCTTCTTGTGTGGTGTAGAAGACTGAAAAAGACCAACATCCATGCGAGGTCTATTTGAGGTGACATGTACTAAAAAAAGTCAGAAATGTGGGATCAGAATCTTGGTAACTATCGAGCTCTATGCTGGGCTTGGGGCTTGGATCCTGGGAGATGTTTACCAGAGCTAAACCCTAAACTGTGAACCTATAGTCCCCCTTAAGTAGGTAGAATATGGCTTTGGGTATATTATAATAAGATCCCCATATAACCCATCTTCTATCTACTTAAGGGGGACTATAAACCCTAAACCCCAAATTGCGCGATGTCCCTGAGAGGCTGGGAGTTTGCCTTCACGGAGCGAAATCACGGACGAGCAATAGAATATAAAGGACTGCGACTACACAGCGGGAATGTTCAGCGATCGATTGTGGCTCACCATCCCCAGAGAAAGCAAAACATTACTGTCCATTCAAAGCCTAAAATCGACCTAGATGGGTTTCCGTCTCAGTTTGGGGGAGGATGTTTCAAACGAAACGGTGGAATGTTTGGCTCAGCAGTAGACCACTAGGTGTTGCATGTCTTCTTAGTGCCGAGGGGAAGAACTGGCTTCTGTCAATGGCAAGACTGGGGTTCAGGGTTCAGGGCCATAGGATCCAGGATATAGGGCCTTGCTGTTTTCGCGCTCCTTTACAGGACCCTTGGCATGTGAACCCCGAAATCAAGGATTGTCTTGAGACCAGCCATGGAAGCCACAAAATAAAGACATGTACAGGCTGAGGCCGCCAGCGAAAACACTGCTGCCCATCTCATCCCCATACCCCATGTGTTAATCCTATCTGCTTGTAAAACCATCTATGAGGTAAAGGAATTCAAGAACCTAAACGCCGAACCCTCATTGCCCTTCCGCCTGCGAGACAAGTCAAGGGCAGCAACAACACCAACTGAGTCCTGTATGAAGCCTTGTCATGCCCCAGGTTTAGGGTTTTGGGTTTAGGGTTTAGGGCCGCCATGCCCCTTTGGGAGACTGCTATTGAAGGGAAACTAACTAGTAACTAGACCCCTTTTAGATCTTGTGGGCTTCCATGATAGTTTTGGGAAAGTAGATGCTTGCGGCACAAACTGCAGGGTGTCTAGACCCTAAACCCTAAATCCTACACCCTCAACCCTGAAAACCTAAACCCTGCACCCTCGAAAAGCTCCAAATTAATCCACAATCCTACACCTGACGCATCAACTTCTTCCTTTCAAAGCGCCATCCCGGGCGTAGGACTTTGGATTCAATGTCTAGGCGGAGGTCCATGCGCAATTAAGAGCTACCAATAATTGTACGTATAACCCAATTACACTCCATCCGTAAGTCCCAAAACATGGTTATGATGGGTCAGAAGTAGGCTTTACATACCCATGAGCCTCCAAGACGTCTTCATATATGTCTCCCCTGGTGATTCACTCGGTTTAGGGTTCAGGGTTTAGGGTTTACGTTCTAGGGGTTTTTGGATCCTCTGAGATGTACCTGACTGCTATCCACAGAAGCCGGAGAGCAAACCTGGCAGGGGCCACGATGCGTCAACTTTGGACATTGCTGGCGATGCCGCATTCTGGTCGGTGCCTAAGAATGCGCCCAAAGGCTGGCATCGATTTAGAACCCAGGCTTTAGGCATCTTCTAGAATGGCAAAACCAAAATGTATAATAACCTTGGCATCCGTACAACAACTGATTGAAATCAAACAACTGGCGCAAAATACAAAACCCCCTGCAAGCCCCGATTGTTATCGTAACGTTGTAGAGATGGTAGGGACCTCCCTCAGGGAATATAAGTGTGGTGTTTAGAGCACTTGCCATTTCATTTTCGATGTTTTCAATTTTGATTCTCCATTGTAAACATATTACCCCTATGCATCCCCCAAATAATTCCGATACAACCTAAACCCTGAGGATAGTTCCCACATATAGCTCCAATATAACATGGGGCTATATGAGCTATAGTCTAAACTCCTAGTATCCCCTTAATAACCACTACAGTAGTCCCCTATATAATCCCCTATATAACCCCCCTTTTAAGGAGTTTAGATTATTGCTCATATGAGCCATAGTCTTAACTCCTAGTATCCCCCTTAATAAGCCCTACAATAGTCCCCTAAATTATCCCCTATATAACCCCCCTTTAAGGAGTTTAGACTATAGCTCATATAACCGTTGTGTAGCCCTATCTATATATATATATAGCAGTTTCTATTTCATTTTCCATTTTCTTTCCCATTTGATTCTCCATTATTGGGGTATATATAGCCCCCCTTTAAGGAATTTAGATTATTGCTCATATGCGGCTCATCTTGTAGATCTCCCATGTATTACCGAGTCGCTGGTCAAAAGTGTCCTGTTGTCATCCACCGGCACCTGTGAAGGGCCAGGGTGTGAGGGTTTGGGGTTTAGAGTTTGAAGTTGGGATTTCAGGGCTTGGGCCTGGGATTTGGACCTAGGATTTGGGGCTTAAGTGTGTTTTGTTGGGCTTTTTCCTCCTGTTGAACCGGACTGCCATACTAAGCTCAGGGTTCCAAATTTAGGGCCGGCGAAATCTCACCTACTCATACTTAGTCCGGAATTGGGGGGGAACGAGTAATTGGTGGCTTAGAAGGGAAAATGGGAATGGAACGGAAATTTCAAACTCCCACTAAGCTCAAAACCCTAAACCGCGTGGGTTCAGGGCTCATGGCGTTCTTGGGACTGGGGAACTGGCTATGCAACTATGATGGCCCTGACTTTGGAGATCATACAGCCCAACAAGCATGGAAGCCCGACAAAGGTTGCTTGATGGAGGGTAACCGCAAAACCCCAAGCCCCGAAACCCCCAAAAAACAAAAGCATCATCAAACCTGAACTTAAATCTCAAAACCCTCTCTCTCTCTCTCTCTCTAGCGAAAAGCGCGTCCACTGTCAAGACCGCCTGTCAGCAGCCCGCTAAAAGTCGGAGGAAACCTACGAAACCCGTCACCCCGCAACCCGAAACAGTAAACCCCTGAACCCCTAAACCCAAAACCTCAAAACCCTCACCCCTGAACCCTAAACCCCTACACCCTAGAGCGTAAACCCTAAACCCTACACCCTAACCCCTTTAAAGCCCTAAAGCTAGATGCCTGCAGGAGCTCAACCTTCTTCGAAGGTGGCTGCGGCATGGCGTTTCTAACAGGACTCTATGCTGCGACCGAATGGGTATGTGCCAGAAGTCGGGTTCCTACGTTTGGGTTTAGGGTTTAGGGTTTAGGGTTTAGGGCTATAGTATATTGGGAGTATATAGGGGATAATGGAAAAGATAATGGAAACTGCTATAGTATATTGGGGGTATATAGGGGATAATGGAAAAGAAAATGGAAACTGATGGTGTTTGGGGTCGGTTTAGCACGTTGCACCCTTTGGACACTATGGTCGTTTAGTATCCCAAGGCCATGCGGCACGTTTAGAATTACAAGCAAACCATCCAACAAGGAGAGAGCAACAACTTGGAGGGGCACTCTGTGCAGAATGTTGGATGTGGAACGTCATGTGGGGAACCCATATCTGGCACATACCCAAGTCCGACAACTGCCTGCAGGCCTACCTGAACACTATTCTGAGCATGTGTGACGCAAGCTTTCCAGGCAGAATACAGCACAGATTTGAGCCAGCACGAGCGAGAACTCTAAACCAGCGCTTCCTAGCATGAATGAAGCTGAAGCCAGGTAGGGAAATCTGGGTTACCGTTAAGGAAACTGATTTAACTCACCATTACGGACTAAAGAAATGTATGTATATATGTATGGTAACTAGTATGACTCCCCCATTACAGTAACTTAAATTAAGTTCCTTAACAGCAACCCCAGAAACGGTAGCTAGAATCAAGCAATGTCCTATAGCCTGTTCTAATAGCATCGACAACACTGGGATTTCTTAATACGGTAGCCAGAGTAGGGGGACCCGAATATAGACACCAATATACTTCAGTTCTTATTCCGGGGACCCTCAAAAGGTACCCCTAAACCCTAAACCCCAAACCCCCTATATTGGGAAAACCCCTATACACACTCAGAGCTGAAGGGTTCGAGCTTGGTACGGGGTTCAACCCTAAACCCTAGGCCCTAGTCTCTGATCCATACGGCTTCTGAAGATGATCCTGGATGGCCTAGAAAGCGCAACCCAATGCCTTGCTGCAAGACAGGTTTAGGTCTTAAGGATTTAGGGTTTAGGGCTTACCTGGAAAGCCTAGTTACCCATAATCATGGGCTACTTTATGCCCAAAGTAGTAGGAAATTGAGGGGAAGTTGCCTATAATTATGGGTAACTGGCTTTCCAGGTAGGGTCAGGTCTAGGGATTAGGGCTTATAGTCCCCCTTAAGTAGATAGAATATGGCTTTGGGTATATTATAATAAGATCCTTATATACCCTGGATTCTCTCTACTTAAGGGGGACTATAGGATTTTCGAGACAGATCTAGGGCTTAAGGATATCACGGAGACGGATACTTGCAGCGACCAGGTAGAGATACGAATCATGTTACCAAAGACTAGCTGCGTCAAGAAAAGCATTTCTGAGAGACTATAGGACTGGAGCTATTTATGACTTGAGGTTTTTCTTCTCCCAGGTCCTCCCGTACAAATCCCGCCATTTAGGTACGGGAAATAAAAAAGGACCGTTGATTTTGGAGATCGTAAGATGGAAGAATCTGCCTTCAACCAGGGCCACCAAGGGACCAGGACCCTATGTAAATCCGAAGCTCTAAAACCTATGAGCCGACGTGCCCCAAGAGCTTCCGGAAAGGGATTGCGTCCTGCAGCCCTTTGTAGGCCAGGAAGCTGTACCTCCATTCAGAAAAGGTGCGGTTGATAAATACTGAAAACATGAATGACTCTACATTCCCTAGTCCTTGGCAATCATGTTCGTTTAGTTCCTAATAAGGCCCGGCTTTGAAATAGTCCCTAATAATATTGCCTCATTTTGAAATAGTCCCTAATAATAAGGCCCTGATTTGAAATTGTCCCTAGTAAAGCCCAAATTTGAAAGAGTCTCTAATAAGGCCCTAATTCCAAATAGTGGCTAATTAGGCCCTAACTTGAAAGAGTCCCTTATTAGATTTATACGATCTCAATCAGATTTCAAGAGGACCCCATTATATACCTCCGCTAATGTTCGGGTCGTACGAAAAATATCCTCCCTGATAGTAAATATGGTTCGGAATATTTGCATTGGGGGGAGGGAATCCCTTTGATAGGGGGGAGGGATTAACGTGAAACAGGTCTCAAAACACAACAGGCTACCACACTTTATGTTTCATATCAGGGTCTGCCCCTAGACACTAACCCTTGAGCAGTGCGAACCATTTAAAATCAAAAAACATGTTGGGCTGGAGCGCGGCTAGCAGTTGTCCGCCCATCCAAAACCCTGGCCACCCAACACCCTAAACCCTTAACTCTCAACCCCAAACTCAAAGCTCTGAAGCCCAAACTAAACCCTAAACCACTTTGACAAGTGTTTATGACATGTCCATGTTGTTTTGCTGAATTCAAGAACTCTTCACACGCCGATGGACGACCTAAAAGAGTCATGGCAAACAAAAGTCCCTGAAGCCCTGTAGGTTCGGGGTTTGAAGTCCGAAACTTTGAACTCCAAAGCCCTGAACCCTCGGGGGCACGGATTCTCCTTTTCCACCAAGCCATCGAAGAAAATGGGGAGCAGGTAAATGTAGTCCAGCCTCTCTGGCTCCACCTGAGCTGTAGGGGCTACAGATATAGAGGGACTATATAGTAATAGTGCAAAAGGAAAATATCATTTAGGGCTTAAGAATTAGGGGTATATACACCAATAATGGAAAGTAGGGGCTACATTGGCACATGTACGGATAATGGAGAAAAGAAAATGGAAACTACTATGTCATCATAGAGTAATTATATGTTGGGATTAAATTCTGGTAGCTACTGTAGGTCCGTTTAGAAGCGTTTATAGGGTGATATAGGGGTTACCCTAATAATGGAAAATGAAATGGAGCCTCCCTGGCTCCACCTAAACTACCGTCAATATTCTGTGTTCATGGAAATGAAAAACGGAAACCACTACAATGGAAAATTAAATGAAAACGGAAAGTGGACAATGAAATGGAAACTGGTATTAGATACCCCTGAACTCAGAACCCTGTCATATAGGGGGTTAAAGGGATTGATGTATGACAGTGGCTCGCCTGAACTTGCGTTTCGAGGATAGGTGTGCAAAGTTTGCAGCGTAGGGTTTAAGAGTTCGGTGGGCACATCACAATTGAATCCTGAACTTGAGGGTTAAGTGTGGACTTGCAGGTCACAACCTATTTTTCAACGGAGAATAGAATGGAAAGAAGAAAAAAGAAATTACATGGAAACTGGGGTGTTCATAGGGCTAGACTCATACCTGTACTTAGCACACAAGAATAGACCCCCTTACGTCTTTTGATATGGTTGTAGTTAAAACCACTTATCACAGGGTTGTGATTATCCATGGACCTCGAAATAAGGTCCAGGACGTCGAGTTCAGGGCTCAAAGCAGTTTTGGGTTTAAGGCGTAAGGTTTGGAGTGCTTCCAAGCGAAAGGCTGGCTGAGGGCTTGTGACTTCTGGCTGGACCGCAATAGAGGTGTCATCATAAAAATGCCTCTGGGCAACAGAAGACAAGAATTGCAAAAGAGGACTTAGAGGTAAGGGTGTAGGATCAGGACATCCATGGGGTCCAGGTACTGCTGCTCAAAGCTTGTTGCACTGCGAAAGGCAATAGCCGTCCCCTAGAAGTTTGCGCGGAATCTGTAAGCTCAACTGTTGCTACTGCAGTCTCCGGTACTACTCTTCCTAGTAGTGCTAGCCCCAGTCCTCCTCCTACTACCACAATGCCGTTCCTGACACAAAAATAGATGATAGCAGTAGTAACAGTAGCAAACAATGCCAGGTTCCATTTCCATGCTCACTTCTGTACATTTGATTCTCAATTATTGTGGTAGTATCCCTTCTATAATATGTACAAGCAATGGCAACTCTGAGGCGACTGGGGAGCCCCAAAAACGCAAACCCGTTCCCCTAAACCTTGAACCTTACACTCCCAAACCCCTTAAACCCTAAAACCTTTGACCCTAAACCCCCAAACAGCTTAAACCCTAAAACTCTAAAACCCTAAACCCGCAAACACCTTAAACCCTGAAACCCTAAAACCCAAAACCCACCACCGTGAGCCTTCCAGTCGATGGTTGGCGTTGTGCCGTGGCGCACAGCAATCGGAAGGTCGCTGCGCTCGTAAAAGCGCCGGAACCTTGTCGACCCAATCCATTCAGGGCTTAGGGTTATGAGTACAGGGTTCGGGTTTCAACTTTGGGGCTTTAGGGTGTAGAGTTTAGGGTTCCAGGTCAAGGGTGCACCCTACCAATATTATGGGAGATTATCCTCAATACTGGAGAACCTACTTGACATATGAATTGGACGCGGCTCGGGCGTGCTCTGAGCGTGGCGGGCATGTAGCTACCCTGCACTCACTCAATCTCGTGAACCACTGACGTCACACTAGTATGATAGCAGCCAAACATCTTACTCAAGCCTAGGGAAAGATGCAGAAAAGGGAAAAAACGAACACATCCCCCAGCTGCTCCGTACCTGGCTAGGCCAGTCGTAAGCACATGAGGCTAGTCCAAGACCTCCACTGGATTAGGCCTTCGGTATCTGCACGCTAGCTGGAGTCTAACTGGCATTATGAACCAAATTGACCAGAAAATGGAAAATCAAAGGGAAACTGGGCTGGGGTTCTATAGGGGTGTTTAAGGATAATTGCCTATATCATGGTCCTAGATTCCTTGTATCATTTTGGTTTAGGGTAGCTCAAATCAAAAGGATGTCGGATCATTCTTCAGGGCCCCCCAGTAGGCTCAGGGTTGAGGACTTCTGATGGATCTAAGGTGTACAGTTTAGGGTTCAAGGGTCAAAGTTAAGGGTTCAGGGTTTAGGTGGGGTTTGGGGTTTAGGGCTTAGGGTGTAGGAGTTGGTCTAAGGATAAATGCTACCAGTGGTTCGTAGTGGAGAGTGAAGTAATAGGGTATAGGGACTATGAGCAAGCAGGAGAGAGGGGGAATGGCGGATGTTCCCTAAAGCCTAAACCCTGGATCGGAAGGATTCATTCTTCCAGTGTGCATGGCTAAGACGAACGAGTGTTGAGCCTGTTGGTTGTTAATCCCTTCATACTGCTCCGTATTAGGCGAGAGATTGGTAGGGAATGGCAGAATGCATCCCGAAAGTAACCTAATTAATGTATAACCCCCAGTAGGATTGCCTAAAATCCTCATTGTGAAAGAACTCATGACAACAAAAAAGGGGGGAGAGGCCTACTGGGAAAACCCAGTACCAGTTTCCACTTACGTTGCCACTCCTCCTGTCCCTCAATCCTGGACACTAAACCTTAGACCAATACCCTAAACCCTCAACCCCAAACCCCTAAACCCAAATCCTGAACCCTAAAAACCCTAAACCCTACTGATAACCAGCTAGTCAGTGGTAGAATCCCTCCTATGAGCTTCCCCGTGTATGCCCCCAAGGAAATTGAGGGGTTTCCAAAAGTTTGACCCCTTTTAGAGGGCATCCAAGGCAATGCAGACCCGTGATTAGTTAACCTCCTCCTTTTGGAGGCCTTAGGGTTTAGGGTTTAGGGTTCTTAATGTAAGGATCCCTACAAAAATCCCTATCAAGGGGAGTGGGTGAATTCATCACGGGTCTACATTATAGGTTGGGTACTGCCCCCCACCGTGCAGCAGTCTATATTCAGGGTCATATTGAAGACCATACATAACTATAGTATCCAATTGTTACAGAGTGGGGGCAGTACTACAGGAGCCTAAATATTTAATTACCTATATCATTTTGAAGTCCATTTGAGGTAAATGCGGACAGAAGTCATTGTCGTTGAAGGTGAAACAGAGTGTGTATTACACGCAGGTCGGTTAACTAGTTAGAGGGCAGATAAGCGGCAAATCAAGACAGAGAGTTCAGCAAATTTTGTTCAGGACGTTCCTGATGTTGCGAAGGATTTCATCAAACTGCTGGAGCCAATCAGCAGCCAAAGAGTCAGAGATGACTCCAGGGCTGGCACAGGTACGTGTGATTTTGCTGGGCTCAGCAGAGAAGCGCATAAATTTATGACAGAAAAAGCACGTTTCGTTATCACTCCAGCAAGGCTGAACGACATGAGCCTTCAAGTGTGTTTCAGACATTTGGAGTCTAAGAAAGGTAGCAAGAGCATTTTTAATTTTTTGAAGTCCATTTGAGGTACCATAGACCACAACTATACAGGAAATATGGAGCACCTTATCCTAAGCCCTAAACCCTGAACCATAATTACGGGGTTCTAAAACTTGAGGCCCGGCATTGGTCACTTTTGGGCCTCATTACTTGCAGGGTCATAGGGGACTTAGTCAGTAGGTTAATAACGAAAGAAAACAGAAACGACCATGGTGTTTAGGGTTTAGGGTTTAGGGTCATGGGGATTTAGTAAGTACTTTAGTAACCCTTATAAGCTTTAAAATATTCCCAGCTTTCCCTATTATTAACCTACTTACTAAGTCCCCATGACCCTCCAAGTAGTGGAAGGACTCTAATATTTGGGAGTTCATATTGTGGCCTTCTTCTGCTGGAAACCCAAACTAAGTCTGCAACAAAAGAAGCGCAAAAAAGAAAAAAAAGCTGATAGCTTGAAAATGAAAAAAAAAAAAACTGTCTTTGGCCCCGCAATCCTTGAGGTAGTCAAGATGAACCATAGTCTAAACTCCTAGTATCCCCCCTAGTACCCCTATAATACTCCCCAATATAATTCCTTACAGTACCCCCTTTAAGGAATTCAGTTTACAGCCATGATAGCTCAAATGAAGATGCTCAGAAGCAGAGACGTTCTGGGATCTCGGCTGTGTTGCCGGATGGGGCGCTGCCTGGCTCGAAAGTGTTTAGGGTGCTACGTGGCACTTAGGACCCCTACTAAGGGTTAACCCTTAATTACCTGTAATAAGAATATCAGGGAATCCCAAAGGGTTAAGGGTCTAAGGTCCAAGCTAAGTCCCAAGGATGGTGTTTAGGAAAGTTTTTGTTTGTCGGACCTGTTCTCCACTTAGAGATCCAAGCGAGATGCCCTTCGGGCAAGGCCCAGACTCCGGAACGCATCCCATGTTTAGAAGATTTAGAGTTTAGGGTTTAGAGTCTAAGGTTGGGGGGTTAAGCTTTGGGCCCAGATATGCGAGAAAAAGCGGGGCGTTCTTTGAGCACACAAAATGCATCCTGAGAAGACTGTTGCCTTTTTTCGAAGCTCCATGAGGTTCCATGATAGTTCCAGGGAGGGTAGGGACCTAAGAACCCAATCAGAGCCATAAAGCCTCAATCTTCGCAATGTGGACGGACTTTGTAGGGATGGATTTCAGAATGAATTGGGGACGGTTCATTAGAAGTAGGCAGGATGAAGTATATTACAGTGGTTACCTTTAACCTTATGAAAGCTTGAACGCTAACCCTAAACCCTAAACCCTCAACCCTAAATAAACCCTAAACCCTAAACCCTAAATAAACCCTAAACCATCCTAAACCCTAAACCCTAAACCGTATTATGGAGGATCGTGTACCAAAACCGCACATCTTGCAAAAAGCTGCCCAGGAGAAGCAAATCAAACCCAAGCCCAGAAACCTAAATTTCAAAGCTCAAATTATGATTATTACTACTATTATTACTGTTATTATTATTACTATTAGTATATTGCTATTATTATTTTTACCATTACTATAACCCCAATTTCTATACATCCTGGCGCCACAAAACTCAGGGCAACCGCCGCCTCGAAGGTCTTGCTCTTCTCTGCGATGTTCTTGGGAAGGTTTTTCTTGAAGACGCCTGGAAACAAGGCTTAGGGCTCTAAACTTTGGGAGCCTGATACGCATGAGTAAAGGCTTTTGGTGGCTGACAAAATCAGATTATATCTTTCTTTTAAAAATCCATAGCCCTAAGGAGTATGTGACCTTACTCTCGTTTGGAGACTCTGGTATCCCCATTACAAATACGGTTACCGCGCTAAACCTGGAGGTCTGGGGCGCAGGCATCCCCCCTACATAATATTGACCACTCTCCCTGATATAGCGTGGTATTCTATGAAAAGGGGTTAGGTAGTGTGATTGGTGTATACACCTCTATACACTTGTGTACCCTATCTTCCTATATTACCCTAACCCTACACGCAAGATCCCTATATAACCCTTTCAGGGGGTAGGAAGGATTATTAGGGTGAGGAAGATTAGTGATGGATGCTGGGAGCTCATGGCTTACAGCTTCACGCTTACGTTCAGGGTTTTGGGTTTAGGCTTCAGGGTCCAGGCTTTAGGGTTGAGGGTTCAACCTGGGACCCGGGACCCCACTTGAAGGTTCAGTTGGCCTAGAAAGTAATTAGCACCTTTATAGCCTACTTCAGATAAATCTCCTAAACCTAGACCCTAAACCATAGGTATTTTTCCTACAAATTCCCTGTAACCCCCTTGAAAAGCTCCCCCGTTTTACTCTACTTACTAAGTGCCCTGAGCCAACCCAATGCCTCATACTCCCAGGGTTTAGGGTTTAGGGAGGTCCAGACGACTTATGAATTCGGGCTTAGGATTTAGAGATTTATGGGCTTAAGGTTTAGAGGCTGAGGGCTTAGGTGCTTCGGGATTAGGGCTTAGGGTTTGGGGTGTAGGGTTTAAAGGTTTGAGACTTAGAGATTTGGGCTTAGGGGCTGGAATGACGACCTAACGTAAGCAAGGCTTGGAAGACTTACAGTTGCTTGCAACTACAGCTGCCAAGTAGCTAACCATCGTGATCGTGCTCCAACATACACCAAAAAAATTAGACCCTAATCCCTAAGCCCGACTTCTACAAACCCTTATACATACACCCTGAACGCTATACCTAGACCCTAAACCCTGGCTTAAAGCCCTAACCCTGGTTGCAACAAAACCGCTCCTTGCCCCCCCTAAACCCTAAACCCTAAACATCCCCAAACGGAAGCGCATGGCAAGCGTAAAAACATCCCTAAACCCTAAACATCCCTAAACCCGACTCCCTAAACCCGAGGGCTGCAACAGACAGGCGCCTGCTTTCTTGGGACCATCACCCCAGCAACCATGAGCCACCTCGCAAGTTTAGGGGTTTAGGATCTAGGGTTGAGGGCTTAGGGTTTAGGGCTTAGGGCGTAGGGTTTAGGGTGTAGGATGTAGGATTTAGGTTTTTCGGGTTTGGGGGGTAGGGTTTTGAGTTTAGGGTTTAAGGTTTAGAGTTTAAACTCGGTCTATGGATGTCCAGGTAGAGGGCTTTTGGTTTCAGGGTCTATGGTGTGTATGGGGTTTAAGGTTTAGGGTCTAGGGTTTACGGTTTAGGGTTTGGGGGTTTCGAAAACAGTGGGTCACATAGCGCGTTTTGCAAGCAGTTTTTGCAGGGCTCTGTTTGGAGCTGCATGTTAGTTTGGCAAGAGCAATTCTTGCGGGGCATTGGTTGTAGGCCTTGGGGGGATAGGGCTTATGCTTAATGGTCTGAGAATGCCTAGGTTATAAGGATGAGGGTGCGGGGTCTCCCCCTACACCAAACAAACCTGTCGTCTGAGAAGCAGCCCACGTAGCCTGTGATGCAGTTTAGGGTTTAGGGTTTAGTGCCTAGCTCATGGTGAGCTTATTAGGGGGTTGAACATCTGTCCGAGACATCTGACGCTACTGTAACACTACCAATATCATTTCAATTCTCTACCCTAGACCATCGTTCCACAAGAATCTGGGACCATGAACTTGGTAATTCGCCTTGTAATTCAAGTCCCATATGACCACAGTTTCCATTTCATTTTCCATCTTCTTTTCGATGTGATTCTCCGTTGTTGCTGATTGTCTGCAAGGAGCTTAACACTAAACCCCAAACCCTGAAACCTAAACCCCAGACCCCCATTCTACAAGGAACCTAGGTTCGTTATATTGGTAATGGTTTGAGCCCTTTTCTTAATGGTGGTTTGTAGTGAAGAAGGGAAGATATCGTTAAGGGTTTAGGGCTTAGGGTTTAAAGTTTAGGGCTGAGGGCTTAGGCTTCAGGGTAAAGGGCTTAGGGCTTAGGGTTTCGGGTTAGTAGGGAATAAGGAAATGTATCATATAGGGATGATATAAGGAGTATGTTCAACTAGCCACCAGAAACTTGGATTGCGCCTGCAAGCCTCAGTTGTACGAATTCGACCGACTGTTCAGATAGATAAAACCAAACCCTAAACCCTTAACCCCTAAACTACACCCTGAACCCGAAAAAATATATAGTAATTACCATTTTCTTTCCCATGGTCGCCATAACCCTCGTTAATCACAGGGATTCTTGTAAACATGTCAACTTGAATTCGCTGTTGAGTCTCAATACAATCAACACAAAAAAAAAGTTAAGTTTTAGGGTTTAGGGTTTAGGTTCCATCTACCTATGTACACTTGACCATGACCCAGACATAGCGTGGGTGTTGCTTATGTCGACTTCCCTTCCTACATAACACCTACAGAGCCAACACAATCCTTCTACCTCATATACAATCCGTCTTGAGGCTTTCGGGGCTTTAAAGGCCCGCCCTAACCCCAAATACGGCATACTCTCCATTACAAGGACCCCCTATTTTGGAAAAATCCTAACCCTATACATCCCTGTCGAACTCCTGTTTAACCTCTATGTAACCCTACGTTCCCATTAAAGAGACCCCTCAATTCTCGGAGACCCCCAGTTCTGCGAGCGTGCCGTTCGGCCCGCAAGCTTGCCATCGCCCTCAGACGCGTAGGGAGCTTCAGCAAGCAGGAAGGCTTAGGGTCTAGAGCTTAAGGGCTTAGGGTTTAAGGGTTCAGAGTGCTTAGGGCTTAGGCTTTGGGGTTCAGGGCTTAGGGCTTGAGGTTTAGGACCTCGTACTCCTTAGTGGTTGTTTACCATGGCAAGAGGATAAAACAAGATTCAACAATGACCCAGAAGTGTGAAAGGCATCATGAAGAGTTTGTACCAAGGCACGACTAAAGCACAGTAGATGCCTCGGGGCATATTTAGGGCTACTGGATATTTCCTGAAAAAAAAAACTTGGTTGTTTCTTTACCTAATCGATCCTGAAGCCTAAACCCTGCATACTATACACCTAAACTCTAAGCCCTAAACCCATAAACCCTAAACACCTAAACCCCTAAACCCTGAACCCCTTAACCCCAAACCCCTAGGCCTTAAACGCTAAACCCCAAGGCACTGCTCTGGATGCAACATCTGTGCCAAATCATGTATGCTGCGTAAGTATGATGAGACCACAAGGTCCCTACATACCCACCCCTCGACCCGACAGCCTAAACCGCCCACTGGGAGGCCGGCAGAAGGATATGGGACTGAGGTCCTGAACCCTAAACCCCAAAACCCTTAAACCCTATACAACCCCGCTATAGTAGTTTCCATGTCGTTTTCCAGTATCCCTTTAGGGTTAAGCATTCAGTTGGTTGGGGAGTTGAGAGATCTAGAGCCTTTAGGGATGAGGTCATGGGATTCAAGTAGTTCAGGTCGTAGAGTTATATAGGGGCCCCTTATATAGGGGAATATAGGGTCTAGGATTCAGGGGTTAAGGTAAGGGAATTAGGATCTAATCTAGGGCTGATGTTTTTTCAGAAGGTTTCTTGCGATACTTGCCAAGTGTTGCTGGCACTCCATGCTCGAAACCACAGGCTCTGAGTATGCAACTCTTGCACCACGCACGGAAAATATATGGCAAAGAAACTTCGGGCGAATGGCGTTTAAAGCGCAAGTTGTACTCATATATACTCTAAAGCCTATAGCTTAAACCATAAACCTTAAACCCTGAACCCAATCATGACCCTCAGACGTGGCCTTACGCATTCCGGCTATTCCAACCCATGGAATTTGTTAGGGTGCGCACTCGTCGCAACCGGGGCATTCCGTGATTGCAAGTCCCGCGTCAAGCAGCTTGCGGTTTTCCTCCAAAGCGCACTCCAGCTTGGAGCATCCTCCAACTGGGTTGCTGTTGAGGGACTTAAATTAAGTTACCATAATGGGTATATAGAGACCATATAGGGGGTACATGGGGTTTAGGGTTTAAATTACCATAATGGGTATATATAGTAAATAATTCCCCAATAGAGTAAGTTAGACTAAGTTCCTTAACAGCAAACCCAGCCCAATTTGGCTCGAAATTGCGCTCTTTTGTGCAGCCTCTTCGTATTTTTCCATCAAAGTCGTGTTCTCAGCTTGAGACTTTTGGGCCGGTGGTCTTACACTGTTTGGAATCCATAATGTCCTAACATGTGGGTGTATATAGTCCCCCTTAGGTAGACAGAATATGGGGTATATGGGGATCTTAATATCATATACCCAAGGCCACATTCTATCTACTTCAGGGGGAGTATATATGCAGCGGCACCATATTGCCCACGTTGTTTGTTGGGCCTGGGTTTCTTATGTAAGGGCAACCAATTACATCAGGCTTTGGCTCCTTCCACCATACAATAACTGTTACTACTAGGCTAATGCCTTTTGCGATGAATTGAATAAAGGGACTAGCTACTTTCCAGCCTTCTCCCTACCGTGATCATCCGTGATCTTTACTTGGGGCCTACTGTTGCTACCAAAAATCGTGCATGACCTTGCTATGCGAGAATACTATAAGTGTAAAGTAGAAGGTACTTGGGGTCATGCAGGACTTTTGGTATCCATCGTAGTTCGGGTCATGGAGGGTGTGGAGTCCACGGATAGATCCTGAAGCTACCTGCATGAGGTAAACCCCAGCCATGAAAGCTCCACCCCCAACCCAGGACACGTTCCACATAGCACCCGTAGTTATCGGCCTTGTTGCTAGGGGAAAGAAGCCCATGCCTAGCATCTCTGAAGGGCGGTTTACCAAAAGTAGGGGTACCTGTATAACAGCATTTTTGCAGGTTTAAGGGAAACTACCAAGTGCTAAGATGGGGACCATCACAATCTGCGGTAAGGTGTTGTGCTCTTCTTAGAAGGAACGCTTCATGGCTGTAGGCACATTGTGGTCACCCAGCTCCAACCACAATCACACGTCTCGTGCGCATGACTGGCACACTCGGAAGTGTGACCACTGCGACCAACAGCCTGCAGCACAGCCAGAAGAATGCCTCGGAACATAATTGTGCAGGGCGTCCTCATTCTGCTCGCGTCGACGCACCTGGTCGGACGTCCACTCCTGCCACTGGACGGCGTAGCAGCCAACACCAAACGCAGCCCGGGGTCCGGCTGCTTCAAATGCTCGGTGGTTGGCACCATCTGAACTAGCACTGGCGGGCTTCGACCGCCCCAGTGCTGAACTGTAGCGCACCAGCACGAGAACTCCCAGCCTGTATGCGCTAGGTTCCCGATCGTGGCTTCGCCGTAATCGCCGGTGCCAAGCACAACAAACGCCGTACTTGTTTCCATTGCCCGCTGGCAGGTGTCCCGGATGTGAGACCCAGGTCAGGTGCAGGAAAACCTGCGCCTTTTCCGCGGTTAGCTTCAGGAGCCCTCCTGAAACACATCGATATGAACGCTGTCAGCGGCTGAGGCTCGGGGATGTGGCTGGGGAGGGGAATGGCCTTGGCCTTAGCCTTAGCCTTGGCCATTGCTTTCCCCTTCGCCTTGTTCGTCTTCTTCTCCTTTCCGTTCCATGGGCCGCACAAGATCATAACGGCAGAAGCTGCTCCGGTGGCAAGCAGCAAAATGGCCAGCGTCAATGTAAAGGCCGTGCTGCGGAGGTCATCTTGTGAATCGGCAGAAAGAAGACAAGCAAGAAGAGCACACAACCAGCCAGCACAGCACTTTGACGGCAGCATGCCTTGTGGTCAAACTGCTGTCGCCAAAGGGCGACAGCCAGCAAACAGGCGCTGAGCAACCATCAGCAAGCCGCGTCTGTCAACAGACCTCTCCCCGTGCTCACCTTCTAGGCCTCGACAGCTGCCAGGCGGCGCCTCAGCGCCGCCCTCACCCTATACGAGCGGATGGTGATGCTGAGCTCCTGGATGAGGGTGCTGTGCAAGGGGCCAGCCTCCTCCCCTGATTGTGCTGCGACTGCTTGGGCAACATGGCGGAGCACAATGGCTGCGCCGGCATCCCAAGTGCCAGTGGTCTCTGCAACCATGGGCACAAAAACACTTCCCTGCGTCTCGCAAGCCTGGACAGTTTGGAGATGCCCTCCTTTTGCCGGGCATAAGAACCAGCTGCTGCACCTGTCCGCTGGCCTGCCTGGCCGTAATGGCGAAGACAAGTGCAGGGATGTAGATATCAGCCGCTGCGGGCGGACTGGGTGTCATCGGGCGCCTGAGGAAGAAGCAATCCAGGACGCTCCCTTTCCGGATGAAGGCCTGCTCGTTGCATCCAGGTGAAGAGGAGGTCCCGGACCGCGTTGTGGCGCTGAATGCGCTCACCACCCGCCACGCAAGTGGCAGCATGATGGTTGTAACGGTCCAGGACGCCATCACAAAGCGGACACCAGCAATCTTCCGTGGCATCAGGGAGGTTGAGGCGCTGCCGCAGTTCTAGAGTGAAGGCAGCCGCCTCCATTCGCCCTCGGCCGCTGGGGACAGCAGCAAGGAAAGCTCTCGCCCCGAGGCCGGCCTCCGAGTGGAGCAGAGCACGTTGAGTAGGAGTGGCCTGCGCTACTTGTCGTTCCCAAGCCGCCTGATCAATGCGTTCAGACAGCTCTCGCTGCCGCACGGCCAGAGCCCAGAGACAGAGCAGACCCGCTGGGCAGCTGCTGCCAGAGAGCTTCTAAGGACCACCGTATTTTGGGGCTGTAGATGAGAGTCCTAGTCTGAAAAGGATGACATTCGAAACAATCTTTTTGGTAGCTGTCTCAAAATAAGGGGACTTCAATATAGACCCAGTGTACTATGATCCTTCTTATTCGGACCACCAAGACGATACCCCAAATCTTAGAAACCCCTAAACCCTAAACCCTATATACGCGTATATAACCCCACATAACCCGCGCATCCCCTTTAACAGGTGCCGCCTAAACCCTAAACCCTGGACCCTAAACCCTCAACCTAAAACCCTAAACACCCTAAACTTTAAACTCTAAATCCCCTAAACCCTAAACCTTAAACCCTGTACAGCCCCGTTTTCCGATCCAGTCAGACATCTGGGCATCACACGGTACCGGCCAAGGTCATCAAGGCCCCAGTGGACATTAAGGCCTTGCAGCCAAAAAAAATAGGGTTTCGGGTTTAAGTTATTTGAGGTTTAGGGTGTAGGGATGCCCTGTAGAAGGTTAAGGGTTCAGACCTTGCGGCCTTCCCCCAAGAAAACAGAAATCCAAGGGATCCTCGAATAATTGAAAGTTTGTGGACTTTTGGGGTCATGTTGCAGGATTCCGACGCACCATTTTGAGAAACTGCCACGTGTAGCCAGGGTTTACCTAAAAGAGGGCACTGCTACGGAAGGAACCGAGGTAGATGTTGGAATGGCAAAGGGATTTCAGGAAACCACCTAAGCAAAAGACCATAAACCCTGATACGAGCTGTTGCGAATGGTTGTAGAGGGTTGTTTTGAGAAATGCCCATGTCAGCATCATGCAGAGCAATGCGGTTAACAGTTTCGTGGCTTTCTCGCTTGCTGCACGGGCCCAAGTCATTGGAATAAAGTTTTCGCGCACGATATGTCATGGTTACGGAAGCATTGTAATGGAAAAGCCTGGATAAAAATTTTCAGGCTTCTACATCCCCAGAACCAGCCATACAATCCCAGCTCCCGTTTCAGTCATTGTCCAGGTCCTTGTCCATTGCCGTACGCCCTATATCTCCGCGTATATATATATATATATATCCCTCACTACCCCCAACGAAAACCCTGAACCCTGTAAAGTCGCTACTTACTCAAGCATCTACAGTAGCCCTTGACATCCTACGTCATTGCATAGAAAGCGGATTACGCAGGGGTGTGTATGCGTTATGGTTTAGGGTTTAGGCTTTCGAGTTTTTGGGTTTGGCATTGTGCAACACTTCTATTTGGGGCGAACCAACCAAAGGGTAATTTGCTGCAGGCAGGAGCTTCGTCATGAAGAAATTACGTGGTTAAGAGCGAACACCCAAGTGACATGTAAACCCCCATCAACTAGCAAAATCATGAAGACCGATTGCTGCAGTAAGAGCATTCAAAGCCATCTGAGCGGGAAAAACAAGAATTCTTGGACCTTATGTCCTAAACCAATACGAGGATTCTTGTAACGCCAACCCCAACATAGGACCCTGTGACCATCACCTGATTTTAATGGGGTCTTAGTTTGAGAAGGCTGGGTTTCTCAACGTCCTCTTATTCAAGGGTTCCAGGGTTGTACCCTAAGGTGTTTCTCCAATATGGCCTTAACATCGCCTTTTTGCGGCCAATTTGGTCCCCTGGAGTCCTCTAAAAGGATCCCAACACCCAGGGGTACAACCCTGAAACCCGGGATTTATTATTTGGGGGGATGAAAAAAGCAAGCAACCAAGCTGAAGGCTTCGGTCGCAACATGCTGGCATCCCCAATGGGGAGATGAAGTTGCCATCAAAACCTATAACTTCCACTTTAAATCCGATGCACCCCGGTAGGCAGTGAGGGCTAAAGAGCTTGGAACTTTGAAAAGAACGGTCAATGCCGAATTCCCTCTTTCGGAACTCTTGTTCCCTGTAGGGGCCTTCAACAGTTAATAACATCATGTTAAGGTCTCTTTGAGGTACCCCGTACTACAATCGCACCAGGAATCTAGGACCATGATATTCAGAATTCCTTGTGAGGGTTTGTAAACCCTAAACCCTAAACCCTCTACATCCGGTGGAGGCTGCTCTACCAGCTTCCCGGCTTCTACTGAGGTCCCTATGGGCTCCTTTGGATTCACCCCAAAAAACACACAATTTGCAGATATGGGTTTAGGGTTTAGGGTTTAGGGTTCATGGGTTAGTCTTAAGGCCCAAAGTTTACGTCTTAGACACTCCCAAATCATCCTTACAACGAAATTTTGGCTCCAGTTGCGCAGTTGGGGGTGGTTCAACCTTGTAAGGTAATATCCTTCCTACGATAGTATACCCAAAAAGAGGATGAAATCATCTTACTCTATGTAATTCCTTGGGGCCTAGAATCCCCATTTAAGATACTGCCTCCCCTGCAATCTCTTCTGGATTTGGGAAGCCGGTATACCTCTCAATAGCCACTATGTGATAGCTACAATCCCCAAAGTATCTCCATTAGTCAATCCTTTAAAGCCCCAAAACACGTACAGCATCCCCACTAATCCTATAAACCCCTATATGACCCCTTAGACGCCCCTCTAGGACCTCCATTAAACACCACCACTCGGTTCGGCATTGGGATTGCTAGAAAATGGCCTGACTCTGCTGGCCAAAAGCGCCACCTGAAGTCATGGGAAAAGATTTGGGGATTTTGAAGGTTTAGGGCTTAGGGCCTAGGGGTTAGTGGAAATAATCAAGTCGAAAATGATATGCAAACTTGGATTATATCAGGTTTGTATAGGGCTGAGGGTTTACGGTCTGGGGTGCAAGGTTTAGGTCTGTTTAGGTTTGTAGTTTCGGTCTAGGCTTTAGGGCGTCGCGTTTAGCTCTAAGGGTTAAGGTGTCAGGGGATCATTGACGCCCAAAACAATCGTCGAAGCGTCCAAAACTGTCAAAGGGTTGAGAAATTATACTATAGTAGTTTGCATGTTCTTTTCCATTATCCCGTTTATACTCCCAATATACTATAGTAGTTTCCATTTTCTTTTCCATTATTCCAGTATGGCCCCTATATAAGCAGACCACCTTCAGGTTCGGGGCTTCGAAGTTAGCTGTGGGTTGTCTGCTTTGGGTCTAAACCCTTCCCTACAGTCCCCCTTAAGTAGATAGAATCTTGGGTATATTATTGGGGTTGTGTAGGGATAGTGGAAAAGAAAATGGAAACTACTATTTAGGGTTTAGGGATAGGGTTCAAGAGACAAAGTTGGTCCTTGCTGCCGTTCGGCAACCACTTCTGCAGCTTGGAGCATTGTTCAGTTGCGCAGATTTGAAGTGGCATCCCTGTTGCTATCGAATCTGGCAGCTGAAGCCTTTAGATGTGAAACGCCGACCCAGAACTTGCAATCCCGAAAACGTCAACTCAATCCCCTCCGCAGACTGCACCTACATAATCCCTTTTTGGGGCTCACATTAGAGTAGTTGAGCTGGGCTTAGGTAATGGAAACTGAAGGGGAGGAACATGGAAAATTAAGTGAAAAAACTGCGGCTGCATGGGGACCTGGGGACCCTAAACCCTGAACCCTAAACCTCAACCCTAAAGCCTAAACCCTAAACCCCAGAGCCTAAATGGTAAACCCTAAACCTTACACCCCAAAGCAAAACCCTAAACGGGTTTCGGGTTTAGGCTTCAGGGAGCTTCTTGGATTGACGCCTTTGGGTCACCATCTTCTGCCCAGCCTCTAGAAACAAATACTAAACCCTACAGTCCCCCTTACGTAGATAGATATTGGGTATATTATTGGGGGTATATAGGGATAATGGAAAAGAAAATGGAAACTACTATATTATAATAGGGTATATTATTGGGGTTAGAGTCCCCCATAAGTAGATAGCATGTAGGGTACATGGGGTGC